AATCTTTAACAGTTGATATGATCAAATAGACCTTGTGGTGACTGAAGATTGAGAGTGGTATGATGTGATTATGGATGCGTGTGGGTGCAAAGTGTAGTGAGAATTGAACATGAGGTGAGATGGATGCGTGTGTGAGTCTGATTTTGCTTCAGGAAGAAACAGGTGTCTGAGTGAAGTGATGGTTTGGATAAACTTAGGTCTTATCAGAGAACTGCATCAAACGCTAAACACCGTGTTCTGTCTCACCGAACTCTTGTGGACCCTCTTTCGGATCCGGGCCGTGGAGGATGTTGATGGTTCATCCAGATGACACTCAACGGCTGACAGGGGAGACGTAGGTGTCGAACGGAACCGGTCCAGAGTTGCCCTCGGTACACGTTGATGGTAAAGCGTTTTGTCGATGCGCTTTCTTAAGTTAATTCACTCAGAAATCAAAGACCCGGTATGAGTCTGCGTTAGAAGTTGCGATTCAGCTATTCTGCCTGGCTTGGCAGAAACAGCGTGAGAGAGGGGGGGGGGGGGGATTGAGCCAATGGGCTCCGTGCCCCCGTTAGCGGTTGTTCACACGTCCTCTCTCTTTCGTTGTCAAGCACGAACTCAAATCATAAGCCTGAAACTTACCAAAAACCTTTCTCTTCTCAAAGCAAACGTGTGCGTCAGCAAATGTGTTTGGAGTTTACTGTGAGAAGATGTGTGTGGGTGTGTGTGAATGTTTGTGTGCTTGAGTGTGTGTGAAGGTCAGTAACAAACACTCAACATTATCTACTTAAGTGTGGATTCATTAATCCATTATAATTACCCAAAGCATAAGAACCATTCATTTGATTAAACACATTTATAATGAGCAAAATGATAATGGTTACTTTAACATTAAAATCAAGAAACAAAGTTTTAAGACTTGTTATGTTATGACTACTTTTATGGGAACAACATCTTCTGTGGGAACAACATCTTCTGGCACGAAGCTGCAGGTGGCAGATGTTATGGTTTCCTCCCAGACTCGCTGGCGTTCAGGTCTTAATCTGTGGGTGAAAGTTCTCAGTGACCCAGCTTTGACCCAGCTGAGTCCAACACCACCTTTGTGACAGAAAACCCATATTTCCTCACGTTACACTTGTCCAATAAAAATTTGGTGTGTTGGAGCAAAGAAACCTTTAAAGACCAAGTTGTTTCTTTTCCCAACATATATGCAGTGGTCTCTAAATAAATGGATGTCTTGTGAGTCGAGCTTTGTAGGAATAAAGCTTTGGCGCTCCTGTTTCAGGTAATAGAAGTGAGCCAGAGGAGAGGGGAGTTGGACATGGCAGGATGTATGTCTGATCTCTGAATTGTGTGTACTGAAACTCTAATTACCCTCTGGGATTAATAAAGTATATTTGATTGATTGATTGATTGATTTGGAGTTTCAGTTCCTGATAGTTGGACATCTCGCTTCTGATTGGCTAACAGCAAAGTGACTCTACCACTGACTATGTTTCAACGTTGATGTTTTATCTCCACAAATAACACAAGCCTGAAGGAGTTCTTCTGTGTGGTGGAGTTGCTAATGCTAACGATTAGCTTCTACTAACAGAGATGTTCTCTGCTGTTTCCTGGATGCTAAACCAACAACAGTCTTCCCCGTCGTGAGTCAAGATGGTTGAGTCCATGAATGTTAAGTGACAGTGTGACATAGATCTGTCAGGCCTTTCTAATCCTAGCATTTCACTGTCTATTTTCTATCTCAAGCTAATGAAGGAGATAGATGTAGGAGGACATTTTCATGTTCACCCTGCATGAAAAACTCAGAGTGACTGATTAAGATCAGTAATAATCATTAAAAAATAGTTTCTTAGTGTTCCACAACTATAGTCAAACATCAACCAGCAGCTTAAGCAGATTAAAATCTGCAGAATTCAACGTCACCTTTTCTCCTAGTCGAGCTAATTATGTGTGAAAGCAAAGTAAATAGAGATATTTATGAAAGTTTAATAGACATGACGGTGTGTGCAGAATTCAGGATTAACTTTGCGTTTACACACATCACACCTGCAGCAAATAACATGACCACACCCGTAGCATATCTTGGTCGATAGGTTATATCTTAATGCAACCAGCTGGATGGATTACCTTCTCTCCTGGACTTTGTCACAAAATATAAATCCTCATTTCATTTTTCCATTGAACAAAAAATACATTAAAAACATGTAAGGTGGTAATTTAAAGTTTGGTGGTCCAGCTGATCCAGAATCAGTACCCTTTCTAATCAAAGATAAGACGTTTTGCTGCTGGTTCACTCTCAGCTCACGTAGAAAACAAACTGCACGCTTTAGTTAACCTCACATGCTCTCTCCCTCTACTGGTTATTTATGATTTCAACTGGTTGCACTGGTCCAGCTCTAATTAAATCGATCTCGTGTGTATTTTACTTTACAACCCAATGATGATATGAGGCTGGTTCCGATTGACGGAATAGTCCAATGCAATAAATCTATAATGAATCTTTTATTAGTTTAAAAGCTTATAAAAATATTCTGTCAAGAATAATTTCCTGCAGAAGCTTCTCATAATGGGGCTGCATGGTGGCACAGTTTGCAGCACTAATGCCTTGCAGCAAAAAGGCTGCAGGTTCAAAACCCAGGTGCAGCCATTTCTGAGTTAACATGTTCTCTTCATGCATATGTGCGTTTTCTTCAGTTTCCTCACACTGTTCAAGTTAATTGGAGTCTCATAGTTGACTCTAGGCGTGACTCAGGCATCATGTTTGTCTCTCTGTGTGTCTTTGTGAAGGATTGGCGACTTGTCCAGGGTATCCCACGCCTCTTGCCTGATGACTGCTGGTATTAGGTACCAACTCCACACCATCCTACTGAGGAAAAAGCAATTTAAAGGTGCAATATGTAAGAATTACATCTTGTGTTCAAATGTGGTTATGGCAGGCCATTTTCTAAGCAATAAAATCACTTTCTCATTGCTGTTCTGTGGGTTTCATGACTGTGGTCATTTGCAGATCAGTACCAGAAGATTCTAGATGATAATCAGATGAGTTATACACAGTAAAGTGATAAGTAGATAAAGACATTGTCATGTCTGGACCATTACATTTGGGTGCTTTATGGCAGGGAGCACTTTCTACACTTATTACGGTAATATTTCTCCAACATCAAAGGGGGTTCAGTTTCCTATCTTGCTGTTAGCTTGATGTTGTATTTCTAAATGACTGATCAAAGGAAGTAAAACACCATGATTGACTCATTATTTATTTCACACACGCACGCACGCACACACACACACACAATTGACAGTAAAATCGAGTAGTTGGTAATTGAAAATTTTGCTTGAGATGTTTTTAGAATCTAAAGCTTCTAATTCACTGTTAGCATGATTAGTTCAACATTAGCTTCAACATTAGCTTCTAGCCTTCTTTACCTGATATTAGCGTAAAACAAAAAGATGCCGTGGCTTCTTAGGGGTACAATAAATAAATCCTGGGTCGCTGCTGTTTACTGGCTTTGGTTCTTTAAACAACTCTGGAGCTTTTGCGTATCGGTGTCGAATTACAAATGCCTGCACTGCAGCGTTAGCTTGGTACAAACTCACAGAAAGTAAACAGTAATCATGTCATTTTTTAAGGAGAAAAACAGAACCCCCCCAGCCAGCTGTAAATGAAATCAGTTTCATTATAATCTTCCTTTCAATATAATTGAGACATTAGACTGTTTTGTGATTCTTCCACAGTATAATCCTACAAATTGCACCTTTAAAACATGGTTGACCGAGCATTTCATAACAGTTCTAGAGTCAAGTGATGGTAACATTTAGCACCTTACAAGCTGGGCTAAAATTTATAACAATTTTATTGTTTAAATAAACACTAAATTAGAGCCTCGGGTTGTTCAGGAAAACTGTTACAGATTACAATATTAAATTAATCAAAATACAAATATTGTTAGCTGGTCTTATCTGCTTATGCAAACTAGTTTTAATGTTTATGTGATTTCATTTGATGCGGAGTGCTAAAAACAACACGAAGGTTAAATGTTGCATGTGTAAATAACCATAAAAAGAATTAACAAACAGAAAATAACCATATGTGTAAACAGAAACCAGTTTACAGGGTTGATGAAGACTGACCAGACAAGCAAATGATTTTCTTCTTGGTGATTTATTCTTGAATTTAGGAGCGATTTCTGTAATTGTTAAGGTCATGTGATAAAGAGAAAAATGCAGATGGGATTGTAAGTAAAATGCTTTTAAAATTCATTTATTTATTTCCTCTCACATTACACCCAAACATGATCTGGTTTTCATTTTCAAATCTCTTACTAGTTTTCGAAAGTATTTTGCAGAGCTCACTTGAGGTTTTGAAAGCCTGAGATGGGCTTTTGGAATTAATTCTGGCATTTAAAACTAATTGATTTAACAGAAAATAAGTGATATTGAAAAGCGGATTTGTGTGCAGACCTTGCAAACAAGTTCCTGCTTCTTTTTGCAGCACAAAGGAGAACCGAGTCCTGGTAAATGCCACAGCGTGTGTCACGTGGCCTGACTCTAAGCAGGGCTTTGGGGGAGTTAAATGTGACATTTGCAAAACTATTTGGCGGGGTTCACTTATGTAAAATTGCTCACTATCATGTATTTTTAAACGGCCTTTGATAAGGACAATGTTTTGTGAAAGGACGTGGAGGGTGTGTGGGGACCGACATTTTGCTGACCTAAAAAGCGCTGTTTGTCCCATCTGTCATCACACAACGAGCTGAGTCAGCACTTCAAAGCTGGAGACACTGTAATAAATTAGGTTTTATTTGTGTAAATTCAGCAGCAGTGGTTAGGTTTTAAAATAAGCCTGTAAGGTGCGTCCAAACTTTTGGCCTGTACTATATATGTATGTATGTATGTATGTATGTATGTATGTGTATATATATATAAATATATATATATATATATATATATATATATATATATATATATATATATATATATATATATATATACACATCTAATTTTTTGAATAATTATTTCTGTTTTAATTGTATTTTACATGTAATTTTTTCATTAATCTTTATTCTTTAATTTAAGTCTCCTTTTTTGCTCCTGCGTGAGTGTAATTGATAGCCTAGTGAACCAAATTCTCGTTTTGCAAAGTTTGGTCTAGGAATGCTCCATTGGAGCCTCCGCAGTCCCTAGCAGCGTTCTGGCGGCCCAGTCACAGCTCTTTATAGGGGTTTCAGAAGGATAGAGCACTGTGATTGGTCCACAATGGTGGACGCATCACAGCTTGATTGAAATGGCTTTTACATCAGTTTTGGACTATTGGACTTTAGTAGAATCAGAAGCAAATGGATGTATTTAAGTCCTTTATTTAGAAAAAGGATGTATTTTTGCCTTTTTCAACAGCAGACCACCTCGTTTACCGACATCAGTTGTGGTGAGTACATCACAATGTTCGTTGTCCAGGAGCATGCAGAGATTGTTCGAAAGACAATGATAGAACACACCCCACGGCCCAGAACGTTGCCTGACTAAATAACATTTAATTTTTTTTCTTCCAGCTCTTGGAGAGTACAGACACTTTTTTCCTCCTCTCCTCCCTATCTTATCCCAAGGCTCTTTGACTGTCTTTCGGTGTACGACGCTTCTGCATTTTCTCTGGAAACTGGAAATTATTTAAAATGGACCTGGTCAGTTGGTCTCTCAACACGACTGACAAGATTTTTTCGATCACTACGTTTACATGCAGCCAATATCCGGGTTATGATCGGGTTAAGGTCAGTATTTGGGTTTCTGAGTAGATCAGAATAACCCGTTTACAAGCATAAATAGAAAGAGTTACCTCTAACTTGCATAACCCGATTTAAATGCAGACATTGGGGTAGCGTCAAGACGTATGGACTACGTCCAGATGCAATATGCCTCATTTCTGGTTCTTGTTCCGGTATCCATGAAAACAACAACATGTTTCCCAGTTCGGAAGAGATAGCGACCGCGTTTGTTTGTGCTTTAGTTTCCTCGTCACCCCAAAAGTGTGGTGCTGTGCCGCGACTCGCCATTTTGCTCCCAACTTGTTGTTTACTTCTGGTGTTCTGGCGCATACAAGACGTCTCGCTACTCAAAAGACCAAGATTCCTTGCGAACAGAGCATGCGCAGAACACATGCTTTGATGGGGATATCCCGATATGCGTTTACACGACCAAACATTCGGGTTAGAAAAGGGTTACCCCAGGTGTAGTAACCGGGTTTTTAAAAACCTGGTTATGAGCATGTCCGGGTTTTTGGCGGTGTTTACATGGACCTGCGGAACCAGGTTATTGTGAATATTCGGGTTTAAAAAGGGTTACTGGCTGCATGTAAACGTAGTCAATGATGACAACGGGAGAAGGGGCTCCCGGGTGCCCCCCTGGGACAGAGCCAGCTGGGCATATCATGGACTCCTGTGTAACGTGATGAAGGAGCTATTCCTCCAAGGTATTTAACCTTTTCCACAGTTCCTTTTGACACAGCGCCAGAGTGCATGAAACAGCCTCAAGGTCATGCATTCGCTTCTAAACTGTTTACTTTCCAGCAATGAAGACAGAAGATGAAGACTGCTTTCTTTTCTTTTATTAAATCAAAGAACTCTATTTTCAACAAAGCTCATCAAAACAACTGTTAGTCAATAATACAATGTGACTGATCTGTGAAATCACAATATTATGATTAATATGTTCTAATAAGTAATATGACTTAATCTAGTCACTAGACACACTGACACACGTAAGGAAAACAATCACATGACACATTGCTGTACTGATCCAATCAGAACCTTCCTAGTCTGAAGCGTGGCATAGTCTCTGTGGTGTTTATAAATCTGTCAGCTTTGATTCGTCCAGAATCAAAAACATCCAGATTAATAAAACTGTTCCAACGCCATCTTAAGTTCAGTTCTCAAGATCTCGTTCTCAAGATCCCATGAAGTTCACCGCATGTTAAGTATGGACAGGCCATCTGTACTTCTCTTTTTAAGCTGAGAACCATTCAAGCTGGGAAAATTCTGTTGTTTACCAACCAAGCAACGGTACCTTTCAGAATAAAAGCTGAACTCGCTGACCCAAGGAGGGTCCCCTTTTGACACTGTGAACCACCTGTCGCTTTTTACCTGGAGACTATCCGAAGACTGGTTTGTCGTGCTGTCGACGCTGCTTCATCGGCTCCAGTACCAGAGGAGGGTCTGTGGACCTGGCATCCGGATCTGTACGGAGGTCTCACTGAGGGTATGTGGATGTGACATAAATGGCGTCTCATGTGTTTATGACTACAAGTCTCAAACTCTGATCAGTTAGGAGCAAAACATCATCTCCCACTCAGACTTTGTTTCTCCGGATGTGAGGGTTCTGAATTTGACACTCATTCACACACACACAACCCACCTCACACTTCATTCAAACAGAACATCCATCATTAGAGAGTTAGTCTTGTTAAATAGTTTAAAATTATTTAGTAATAAATTTCCTTAAATGTTTGAAGGTCTCTCTCTCTTCTCTTGTCTCTCAGTTAATACAAAGTGTTATCTAAATCCCTGCAATAAAAAGATCCAATCTTCTGATTTAAATAACCCAGTGTGCATAAGATGGAATTCATACTCGATATGAATTTTTAATGTCTTATGGTCCTTAATTAAATGTAATTAACACTTCATTACACTGGAAACAGTGGAACCTGATCTGCCTCTCTCAACTGTCTGTAGAGGATTCTGAAGACGTCTGGATAGTCGTGGTGTTGGTGTCGGGATTCCTGCTGTTTGGCCTGAGTGGTTACCTGACTTACCGGAAAATTAATGAGCTGTCGAGGAATATTGGCTCAATCCGGGAGCTCAGGGATGGATTACACCGTGCTGTGAACGCACAAACTCATATAATTGTCGAGATGAGTCGTAAGCTTGGAACTTTGGCTGAGATTCAGACTCTGGCATGTAAGGTTGATTCAATCAAGGAGCGAGTTGACGGGACAGCACGGTTGGGAATAAATTAATTTACGCCATTATTTGGATCTAGAGAGGTTGGAGACCAACAGAACTTTAAGACAGAGAGGAAATTATCTCTGTCTGGCCCCAAAACAAGTTCTTATCTGAATCTGGTGCCCTTGAGCCTGTGAGGCTGAAGTGATTACTCCCCCTCAGAAGAAATGTGGAATGCTGCCGTCGCCATGGCAACTCTGTCTCCCTATCCCAGCCTGGGCGGGACTGTGACCGGTGAAGGCCGTGGAACCGTTTCCAGGAGTCATTGTGCTTTCTAAACCCAACTACCTCCCTCCCCTGTCCAAACGGAGGTGACGAGCGCTGCTCATTGTGGCATGCACTGATGTGAGGAGAGTCCCCAACCCTTCCTCCCCACCTAGTGGACACTTATGTTGTGTAATGTCTGAAGTCTGTTGCATTTCTGTCTGAGGTGTTTTTTGCATAGCAACGCTGCCTTTCCTGTGGAAGGTAACTCTGAAGTGCCTTTTTTTCCTCCACCTGACTCAATCCTCAAATAAACTCCTCTGATCTCTATTAAGGTAGCGTGACTCGGGTTGCGAATGACCACAGTCATCAATTCTTGTCATGTGTCTATGTATGTATGTCTGATCTCAGAATTGGGTGTACTGAAACTCTAATTTCCCTCTGGGATTAATAAAGTATCTTTGAATTTGAATTGAATTTATTTAGTTTGGCTTGCCAGGCTATGTAGTTGATGCCGTGGCATCAAAATTTTCCACTGTGGGACAATAAATGGATTTTTCATTCTATTCTATTCTGGTTCTCCTGCACCAACACAGCTGGTTTGAATCACTGGATGGTTAACAGGCTTCTGAAGAATTTAAGGACACACTGAACAGGTGATTTAATCCTTGAATGATGTGTCAGAGCATCTAAACCCTACAGGGGAGTGGCTCTCCAGAACCAGAATTGAATAACCCCCACACTAAAAGGAGGACCAGGATTGGACACCACTGCTCTTTACATATACGTATAGCAGGAGTGCCTATAATCCTAGTCACAGAGAGTCGGTATCCAGCATGTTTTTGTTGTTCCTCTGCTCCAGCACACTTGATTCAATGGTTGAATCACCTGTTCAGCAGCTCCAAAGCTCTGTAGATGCCTCACCAGATGATTAAAATCAGGTGTTTGGGAGCAGAGGAACAACTAAAACATGCGGCCTTCGAGGGACCAGGACTGGGCACCCCTGATATCTAGAGATTAAATGAGTAAATACACAGCAGGTGTGGTGATTAGCAAACTAGAATCAGGTGTGGGGGAAACACAGAAAGGAGACTAAAGGGAAACAAAACATGAAAAAGCCAAATAAAACACAAGGTTACTAAAATGAGATCAACATTTATTAAATAAAAGTGAATTAAAACATAAAAATCCCCAAACACCATTGTTCCCTTTAAGAAACGTTTCCAATTACTTTGCATTTAAAACCCATCCAGTTTCAAGGCAGAGCACTCGGCTTTAGAGGAAATCAGCAGCTAAGCGTTCTCCAAACACATGGCATATGTTCCCCGTGACGATCGTTAAACTTTTATCTCACCTTTTTTGTAGAACCACAGCTGCCCTCCAGTCCTGCTTTGTAACAGTATCACAAAGTTATAAGTATTGCTCCATCTATTGAAATTTTTTAGTCTTACTAGAGAAGTTGTGACTTTCAAGTTTGGTCGACCTCCAAGAACTGAGGGTGTTGTCTCCGTCTTGCAGCGCTGGTCCAATTGGAGTTCCTTTTATATCTGGGCAAACACCCGCTGCTTGATAAAACCAGTGATTCAACTCCTCTTTTTTCCCCCGTTTTGTCTTCATAATTAGATGCGTTTTCAGTGCTGAGCTTTTTGATCTCCCCAGACGTTTTTTATCTTATATCTGCATGATCCAAGTCTTTGGTCTGAGGATCGGCAGCTTTTAAAACCTCCAGCCCATCACGCTCAGTAATTTTATCTCTCTGTGAGGTCACATGTTGTAATCTGAGCTCAGCTGGAAGTCTGAATCTGAGACCTTGAGTTATTGCAGAGTAATTAAGTTTACATTAGAAGAAAAAAAAGATATTGATCTGTAAATAAGAACGTTTATGAAACCGCTTCGTTCAGCTTTAGTAAAACAGCTTCCTGCCACATTCAGCTCCTGCTTGTGATGTTTCAACTTGGAAACATTACATGTTTTGTTTGATTTGTCGTTTGATTGATCTAATTCGACCTTTTTTGTTCATTGCCATTTAACAACAAAAATTCATCTCATGTTCGTTCTGATTCCTTGTTCCTGGCCCTTATTCCCCTCAGTTCCCCTTGATTACTCTCCTCACTATGTTGCATCTGTCAGCATCTCAGCTGTTCAGTAATCAGGCTACAGTACCTGGAAGGTAGCGGTCACGGAACATTCACACCTCCTCTCGGGTATCTTCCCTGAGATGCTTCTGCCAGAACTAAACACACATTGCCAGAGGAAACTAGATAGTCGTAGACACCAGTCGGCGTTTCCTAGGTTCAAATGACTTTTGTTGTCTGTGACTTCAATTGCTATTTTTTAGGGATGTGTATTGGTGAAATTTGAATATCGATATTGTATCACAGGAAAAAGTATCACAATATATTGCCATATCGATATTTTCTTACAAGTGATTTTCTTTTTGGAGCTAAAGTTGAAGTGGAAGCAGCCGGCTGTTTCTCCTTCTCTGACATTATTGAGCGAAGAACCTCTCACACCTGTGGTGTTGCATTGCTAAACATGCGAGTGCGTAATGAGTGGAGGACCCACACTGTAATAAATTATAAGCCAGAATACCTTAAAAACAAAAGTTCACTGGCTGCTTTGAAAACTTGAGTCATGACAACTTAAATGACTGATTTCTTTCAACTCTAAATGTCATAAATAATAACTATGCTTTGTTTGAACATTACGTTGTGAGTTGAAACCACAAATCTTGTTAGATTAACAAGTGGAAAAATATTTTGTCTTGTTAAACAAACCCGCAATTTTACATTATTTTAACTTATAATTTTACGTTAGACATTTATGGTTTTCCATTCAAATTAAAAGTTTATGTTAACTGATTAAATAAATTAATTATTTGAACTTGTATTAGCAAAATGGTGGCTGTCTTGCCAATACATGCAAAGGGTGAAGCAGGAAGCTAACAACAACACTGAAAAGTGCTCATGCTTCATGCACCATGTGACTCCAGTCAGTCAGTGGGAGTGGAACACAAATAACTGCGACCTTAGCATTTAGCATGTGCTAGAGTTGTGACGTTCAAGAATAAACCGATTCGTTTGAACGGCTCATAAGCATGATTAATTGGTGGTGGTGGTGGGGGGGCATTCTTTCTGTTGTTCTTATTTTCCTATGCGTGTTTCACACAGATGCACACAAATTAGCTCCTCTGCGAGACAGAACAGTTATAGGGGATAGTGGTGTGGCATTTACGAAGGAATCAAATCTTTTGAATGGGTTTTCAAAGTGAACGATGAGAGCCGAGTCCCTGTAGAGAGTCGTTCATCTTGTCTTCTGGTAACAAACCTCCCTGGATGTCGGTAAAGCGCACCCGCTCAAACCCCACCCACCTCTGTGACGGATGTAGGAGGAACCATAGATATGTGTTTACAAACACATATACATATCTATGAGAGGAATGCTAACCAAAACCGTGCACCCTCACGGACACCGCAGGAACACGTTGCTGTGAACTCAGACCAGCTTTTAAGGGGTCATAGAATTCAAAACCATACTTACCTTGTTGCTGTTGAAGTTAGGCAGCTTGGGGTTTCTAATGTAGAATACCAAAAAAGTCTGTAGCATATCCAACCTGCTTTTCTATACAAATCAGTCATTTGAAAATGGCTAAGAAGAAACAGAAAAGTCTGTGATGACACGGCGGAAGAGCTGTAGGCCACTTAGACACACCCCTTAAATTCTCCCCTGCCATTCAACCATAATGTCAGGCATTAGCGGTAACGCAAAACATCGTTATGTGCCAACCACAAAACAATGCTAGTCCAATGCTAACATCCCCATTCAAACATGTACGAATAAAAGCCAAGATTGATCATAGCTTGCCGACTGAGTGATCTGGATTCTACGTGTGGCTGTACACAGAGTTTCTAGCTTAAGGTAGCGTGATAGAGCCATTGGGGTAAACTGGCCAATGAGGATGCAGCTCATTTATAATTCCTGTCTAGGCCGAGTGGGTGGGGCAAACTCGTCTTTCCATAGGGCTTTGTTATGGGGTTGTATTTTACCATTTATCAGTGCTGTTTTGAGCCCCAACAGTTTTATATGTTATACAGAGGCTCAAAGAACATTTTATTAGAACACCTTTAAGGCTGAAATCCGGAGTTTTTTTCTCTGACGGCACCATCTAGATGATGAAAAATATATTGCACCTTGAGTTTCTTATCTTAATTCCTATGTTTATGGCTGGGAGCAGCGCCTCTTGTTCGGGAATGCACACCTCTAGTCAGCCATCAATGCTAAAGCCGATTGTTTTAAATTATTATTCTCACGTTATGCTGTTTATTCATCTGTCTGTCTATCCATCCATTTTCTTCCGTTTATCTGGTGTCAGGTCGTGGGGGCAGCAGCCTAAGCAGAGAGGGTCAGACTTCCTTCTCCCCGGCCACTTGGGCCAGCTCCTCCGGGGGAATGTTAAGGCGTTCCCATGGCAGACAAGAAATATAGCCCCTCCAGTGTGTCTTGGGTCTTCCCTTGGGTCTCCTCCCAGTTGAGTGCTCTTGTAAAACCTCACCAGGGAGGCGCCCAGGAGTCATCCTAACCAGAAGCCTGAGCCACCTCAACTGGCACCTCTCTCTCTCTCTCTCTCTCTCTCTCTCTCTCTCTCTCTCTCTCTCTCTCTGTCTCTCTGTCTCTCTGTCTCTCTCTCTCTCTCTCTCTCTCTCTCTCTCTCTCTCTCTCTCTCTCTCTCTCTCTCTCTCTCTCTCTCTCTCTCTCTCTCTCCATAAGGAAGGTCGCCACTGCAGCATCAGTCTAGGTACGCCCTCAAACATGCGAGCACGCTCTGGTTGAGATCTGTACTTGAGCGGATGTGTAACAGTATTGGCTAATGCTGATTGGTGTTCACTTCAAAGAGTAGGACCATCACTTTTATGGATTTCTAAAAAAATCATACATAATTCCTGAGAGGGGGGAAATCCAGATTGCAGCTTTAAGATCACGAGTCCTCCACGCATGAAACTCAATTTTTCTAAACAGAGGCTGTTCAGGTAATGGGCAATAATAATAATTTCAACTTTTAAACAAAGACACACTTCTAAATTGCCAAAATATTAATTTAAAGCTGTGAAAAGAGCCCACAAGTATCTCATGAAACCCCAGATATACCTCACAAAACATGAAACGTGTACCACTCAGGTGTGATTCTGTTCTGTTCCCATCTGTGACAAAGGTTTTAAAACTGAGTTCACCCCATCTTGATCTCTCTGTTAATGCCACTCTCTCTGAAATGTTAATTGCACATATTTGTCACTTCAAAATGGGTGTGTGGGAGATTTCCTTTTGGTAATTCT